CCCTCGGCTCGGGGGATTCAAACAGGCATCCCCGAGCAGCAATCGGTCCCAACCCCAGCATCATCTGGCTAGGTGGGCAGCTGTTGTAAGGGAGAGGGCAGAAGAAAGGACTGTATGGGAAGCGTGATTCCTGTTTCTGCAATTGCCGCATCAGGGAATAAACTGAATTATTCACGTGAAAGGGCCGAGAGACACCGGGCGGTGCATGTGTGCGTGTGCGTGAGGCTGACTGACAAGGAGACGGGGAAATCTCTGCGCCTTTGTCTGGCAACAGCCCTTCAAGGGAGCAGAGGCACGCTTGCTTTCGAGGTGCGAGGGGGCACAGGAGCAGGCGTGTGGGAATTCACTTAATTTCTGCCGCTTCTGGGACATTTGAATGGAAGCCATTGAGCCTTATCACTCCCTGCTCCCTGCCCACCAGCAGGGCGTCCGATGTGAGGAGATTGCTGGTGAATTAAAAGCCCTGAGTCACAAACAGTATTAATACATGCAAGGAAAACTATAAATAGATTTCAATAAATTCCCTGGAGATGCTGCTTTCTCTTTTTCGTGGCTGCCCCCTCCTTCTTGGCTGGCTATTTTTCATAGCATTTCTAGAGCTGTATTTTCAAGGAGGTAGAATCTTGTCCCCATGGCAATCCAAATAATACCTTCTGTAGTGAACCAGGAGTTCAAATCAGCCCACAGTCTTCCTAAAGCCAAGCTCCTTTGCATTTGGAGGTGTGGTGTATGAAGTGTGCTTTCCTCCTGTAGTCCGTGATCTTCTCCAAAACAGAATGTGGTGTAAGCCAGGAACTGTGCAAGATGGAAGGCCAAAGGAATCACTCAGGAAAGAAATTACAAGGAATATATCGTATAATTTGGGGATATTTACAGATTTTCATAGTAATGGCATTAAAAGTGTTCCCAAGGGATCCACTGTGTTGTATACCAGCTAACTCTGCTAGCTTTTGAGCAAGTTCTGTAAAATAAGTTTATGGCCCTTTACTGTTTTGACACTTTTGAGCATTGAACCCCATGACCAGGAATTGTGAAATTTCCCTGATGATCAGCTCATAAGCATACCCAGTGATGTTGCAGTCTCAGACTTTTCAGTTTTGCCAAAGATTTTTCTGCCTTTTAAGTGAGAGTAAATTTAATAAAAGTATTCTTTAGAATTGTTCTCTTCTGTGGCTGCTCTAGTTGCTCACCAATGTAACTGAGCAAATCAGTATTTCCCTGACCTCAGTGCAGGAAACGTGCTCCTGAAATTAAAGAACAGCAAATATTTGCAGACTGGGGTCTGGCTTTTTTCAGAAACTGCTTGTCCAGTAGCAATACTGCCTTCTTTTGCTTTTGCTCATTTTGAGACAGAACCATGGATCCCCTAAATCAGTGTAAGCCACAGGTTTAGATGGAGTTTTGCTGCTATCTGCAAACCAGGTTCCTCTGCTGAGCTTAGATTCAATTATAGTTCTGAGAGACAGTGACAAATGAAAGATTTACACTCTTGCGGTTTCTCTGCTGTTTACTATGTATATGAAGGCAATATTGTTCTGCTGAAGCAAAATGAAGGTTGTTGTGTTTCTGTGGCAGGATGTAGGCTAATTTCTGTAAAAAAATCCTCTTTATAGCAGTTTACATTAGTGGTATGGCTACAGAAATTGCATATCTCCATGCCCTTTTATATTTGCTTCTATTTGGTGCTATGTGGAGAATGCAAGGAAGATACGTGTTCATACAAGACTGTCCCATGTCAAGTAATTTCTGAGGATAACAAACTCAAAAGCACACTTGAATGGGGCAGAGTTGACATCCTCAGTAAATGTCCCAGGCCAAATGTTGTAATGCATAGTTAGCTTAGGAATTCTTAGTTTCAATATTAATGAGCTGATCATTTATTTTTTTAGTGGGTTTTGTGTCAGCTGTTTTTTTATTGTGATGATTTAAAAAAAATAAATCAGTCAACAAATATTTGGTGTTGTAGTACCCTGCTAGACATACACTCTCTCAGTCGTTTGCATGTTAAAGGAGAGCACTTTTCAGCACATTACTGATTCCATTTGCAAGAAGGAGATTGGACCCTCACTAACATAGCTTTTCGCTAACACCTTTGAGGATTTGAACTAGAGCAAGGCAGCAAGTTCTTTCTTGCCTTCTAGGAAACTCACATTGTAGGAAAGGTAGCAAGTGGGAAACCATGGTTCTTGCATCTCATTCATATGTTTAAGTTTGAAGCCTTGTAAAAAACAGGAACACTCCTTTTCCAGGATCAGGATATGCACTGATCACATTTGCTTAAATGTGATGATGAAAGACTTGCTCAAGGCCATGCAACAGGAGCTAAAATAGGTATTAGCAGATGTCAGTGGAAGTGTCTGTATCTCAAATTGACTTCAGAGGGCTTTTCCTTGAACTCTATTTGAAGAATGTTCTGAAACATGATCAGGAGCACAAATCTTCTAACCTTAAGCTAATTTTGCCACAGACTTTATGCATTTATTAAAAAAAAAGTAATTAGGGGAACATGAAACATCATGTGATAAAGCACCCAAGATTAATTTCCATCTCAACTTATTATTAATAATGGGATCCCAGGCACATAAAATGACTAATAATCTAAAAATAAATTCTATATGTGAATTTCTCGATCATACGGAAAATAAATTAAAGGGAGAGAAGCCAAGTGATTGTTTTCCAGGTCTCAGTTTCACATGTGAAATCTTCTTTTCACATGCTTGAGTCTCTGAGAGAGGATGCCTTCTCTCACTCCACATGCTGCTAGAGGAAACAGGAGCTGGCAGTGAGCCCAAGAGTGTAAGTGAAGAGACAATCCCTTTGGGCAGTTGCTTGCTGCACAGTCTCCCTGCCAACAGCAGCAGGGTGTTGACAGGGACTTCAGGGTTTGGGTGTTCAGTTTTTCAAACACCAGAGCACAATATTTGTGGTGTGTCACATTCCACCGATTGCTACCGACAATTTAAAAAAAAAAAAAAGGATAATTGATTCATGGAGCAACGTTTTTAAAAGGAGGAACTTCCCATCCGCCAGCCACTTAATTTCAGAAGACGGATTGTGAAATGCTTGTCCTAGCTGGACAGATTCTGCCATTGATTGGCGTTACAAGAAGCAGCATTTCCGTTTTTTACTGTGCTTGACAAAGGGAACTTTGCAACAGGTCATGACTTTCAGAAAGCAGTGCTTATGAGAGAAGAGAAGCCAGGCTGGGAAGCTCAGATTGCTGCACAGGAAGCTAAATACCCTCCAGCAGCAGATGCTCCTCTCCCACACCAATCTGCCTGACTCTGCTTTCCCTGCCTTGCCTATACCCGTAAACAATAAATGAAGAGCATTGAGCCTTTATTTATCACACTAAGAAAGCTGTGGCAATGCAACAGTTTGGAAGCAAGGCTATTAGATACTC